ACGCTCTGCCGCGAGATCGAACGGATGAGATCGAAGATCGACGATCTGGTAACGGGAAAGATCGACGTGGCTCGGGAGCCGAGGGATTACGAACGAAGGGAAAAGGATGTCGGCGAGCAGAGAAATGTTGGGTCTCTCTCATCGGAAGATCGATGCAAGGTCTTGGAGGAACAAGTGTCGAGCTTGGCCAGGGAAAACGCCTAACTTTCGAAACAGCTGAAAGAAGTCATAAGCATGAACACCAGATGGCAACGGTACTCGGATCAACGCGAAGCGCACGTTATCAAGCTTACGGGAGAAATCCAGTCGCTTTCTGCGAGAAACAAAATGTTGCAGAGGGATTGCGGCGAACTGCGCGTGGGCCTGGATAAAAAATGCCGAGAGCTTGATGACTTGCGTTTCGCAAAAACTAACGAAAGTTCCGTCGTCTGGGAAGTTTCGTACGAGAAGGAAGAGGAGGAGGAAGAGCCGTTGAGATGTCCCAGGTGTTTCAAAGCTTACACCGTCACGGAACACGCTTCGTTGATGGAGCACGTCTTCGATTGCAACGGCGGACACGACGAAGATTTCGATGTAGATGTATTTTATTAATGAAAATGAAAATAAATAACACAAGCAAACCACATTTAACGTTTCAAGTTTCATTTCTTTTATTGCAGTTATTAATTCAATAGTTTACAATCATTTCCTCAATCAAATCTTCCATGATGTGGGCGAACGCGCGATCCAGTTTGGTCGGCGACACGGGTTTGTCGACGACCGAAGTCTCCCAGATCGTTCTCCATGTATTTTTCGACCGTTTCAATCCTTCGGTCGAGTTCCTTCATGCTTCTGTGCGATCGCAACATGAAATCCTTCTTCCACCTCTCCGCCAGATCGTGGCGTACGACGGACGCCAGGCGATTGGCCAGATCCTCCACGTGTGTCGTCGCGTCTTTCGTTCTCTTTTCGACGAGCTTCTTCGTTTGCTCGAGTTCCCCTATCTCCTGTCGGACAGACTCGGCTATGTCGGCAGCGCGAACGTCTCCGACGGATCCGTCAGTCAGATGCAGAGCGTACCCTTTTCTGACAGTCTCTCCGGTGGTGCCTAAACACAGGGTCACGTCTATCCACAAGGAGTTGGATTGCGGGCAAGCGACGATGTTCGGTTCCAACACCCTCCGCGTGCAATTCGAAATTTTGCAGATCGAATTCAAGAGGATCGGTCTTGGCTGATTGCACAGTTCGTAGAGGAGGTGAAACGTCCTCCTCGTCGGCTCGTTCGTCTCGAAAATCTTCACGGCGTACAGGCGACTTTCGTTACAGTCCTCTCTCAGGATCCTCCACCACAGCACGGAAGGCTTGCCGCATACACCGCAGTCCCTGTTGAGGTCGAACGAGCATAAGATCTTGTCGCCTAACATCATCTTCACTTTCCACGTTTTGCTTAAGGTCGTCAGCGTCGGTCGATTTCGATCGGGTCCGTAAATTTCGTTTAGAAGGTCGACGACCGTTCTGTCGAACGTGAAGGGTTCGCACAATCGCAGCACGCCCATCCAATCGGCGTTCGGTATCTTGCCGTCTCGGTGATACAGCAACAGATGCTTGACGAACAGATTTATTTCCCGCAACGCGAATTTAGACGTCCGACCTAGTAATCTTGGGATCACTATCATCTCGGCCAATCTGAGCTGCTAGATCAAAGACGAGCCGATGTACGCGCTCAAGGCTATGACGTCCGCGTATCGAGTCACGTCTGCGAAGGTGAACTTGTCGCGATAAGAATCGCCGTCCATGTATACCAGAAACCTCCGGTAGCGGAGGTGGTGAACGGCAAGACTTCCGACATGTCGATGCTCACCTGCGTGGCGTTCGTTTTCATGATGCCCGAAAATCGGCACAGGTCTCCTATCGGCCTGTAGAAGTAGATTCTGCCTCGTCTGTCTTTCACGTAA